CTACTTACGACCTTGTAACTGATTTTGAAAAGGGTGACCGCAAGTAGGGATGGCAAACGGTGGGATCGGACTAGACCTGAACCCGAATAGTATTTGAATACTTGAATTTTTATCCAGACCCGTCCGGCCCCGAGCTTATTGACTGGGTTCGTATTTGGTCAGATCCATTGCCATCCTATAATTATGAACTTTTTTTATTTTTAGCCTTATTTAGTATCATATAACCTATGATTATGAGCTCTTTTTTTTTGTTTTTTTTCCAAGAATACTGTAAATATCGTCAATATTGTGATAATATGAACACCTAGCATGCACTTAAAGATACATAATTGTCATTATATACCCTATGACTACAGGTATGAGTCGGATCTAGTTGGATCTAAACCCATATCCAAATAATATTCGGGTCCAAAATTTGGATCTATATCCAAATCTAAAGTTTGGTGGGCTCGTCAGGTCTTGGGTCTAGTTGAGTCCATTACTATTCCTAATAAAAATTAAAAAAATAAAAGGTGACATAGGGCCAACATTGGAAAAATGAACGAAAAAAAAACAAACCCGATAAAATAAGCGGGTCGGGGCGAGCCAGGCTGGCATTCAACCTTTGCAAGTCAGGAGGCTCTTGCGTCCGCTAGCTCAAATAAAACCTTCCCGTTATATTTTGTTCCCGCAGGCGTTATAGTCATTTTAAGTAATTGGTGGTTCGCCTTCTCCTTTTGCTTCCTCGTTTGCTAACAAGGGTGTCAGAAAATAAATAAATAAATAAACAAACCCTTTTTCACCATCAATCGAAAATATGGGCGGCCCAAAAGTAATATCTGTATCCTTATTGCGTGGATCCCAGTTCGGAGACATCATCTGATCCGTCAATCCATCATCAGCATACCAATCTAAGGGTTGGGAGTTCCCCATTATGCTATTTATCCATGGGCTTCCTGGCCGTTGGCTTCAGAAATCAAACGGTCAACGTATTGTAACGGTTTCACGGCTGTGATGGTACGGCTTGCCCTAGTGTCACGTGAACCGTTGGTCAGATCCATTGGAAAGGCAACACCATTTACTGTTGGGAAATGACTACTGGACCCTGAATGTTTTTGAATAATTTCAAATTTGCCATTTTCCTTCCACCATGACCGTTCTAGCTCTTTAGGAAACTAATTTGATTTTTTGGAATAATTTTTACACGGTGAAAATATTTTATAAAATTAAGGGAAATTAGCTTATATTTCCCTTTCATCTTTCGTAATTAAAAGCAATCCTCATTTCTTCAAATTTTTTCTTTTTTTGTGCTCTTTTTTTTCTTCTTTTTTTTTTATGTTTGCTTAAAATAAACTTGATGCGGTACTTAAAGAGCTGGACCAACTCGAATGATAAAAATATGTGCTCTGGTGCTAGAAGACCGACCAGACTATTTGGTATTTTTAATAAAAATATAGTCCGGTACATGAAGTACCAGACCCATTTGGGGCAAAAAGGTTGGCAAAGGTTAGTACAGTACTAGAAGTTCTAAATATCAGTAATTTAGTGGCATTTTAATACTTCAAGTACGAAATCAAGTTTTAAAATTTTCTTTGAAAAAATAAGGATGTGATTGATCCCAAATTATACATATAACATATCATAAAAATTGATAAATATGTTTAATCCCAACCCTTCAATCAATTTAGCGAAAAGCCGGAGTGTAGAAAACCTAACCATTTAAAAAAGCATGTATTCCCGACTTAATTACCAAAGTAAAAGGGTGTGGTTCGTATAGAGCCAAGGCTCTAAACAATCAGAGTAAAATGCACCTTCAAATAGTGTCAAAAAATGTGGTTTCAATACTGAAAATCTTTGTGATAGCCTTCAAATATATTTTTATCTTTAATTATAAAATTTAAAGCTTTAAAAATAGTGTAGATCGAGCAGATGTATGAAAACTTGAAAAATCTTGAAAATTGACAGTCCGAAAATGCATTATAAGATGCACCATTTCGAAAACTTAAAATCCATTTTTTTCTCATGTCCATACATCTTGATGTCGAGATGATCAATTTGAGCATCAAAATGACCTCTTCTAGTGAAATTTTTGAGGTAGACTCTAATTTTATTGTTTAGAGCCTCGGCTCCAAATAATTTTTTTCCAAAAATAAAGGGAGGTCGGCACTTGGTTTATTACTCATTCTTTGACCATATATGCAGCCATATAAGTCATTTTGCAAAAAAATAAAAAATATAACTCCTCCAACTATGTGACATACTTTAAGCTATCGGATTTAATTTATAACGACCAATACTTAGGGCCTCTTTATACCAAAAGTAAATCCCATCTATTATACACTTAATCTTTTAGTAAAAAAAACATACTACTATCATTTTTCTATATGAATTTTTGGGATTTCTCTCTCTCTTCATTGTTAAGATCATTATATGACTATTTTCAAAACATCAAAATTTACTTTTGGGCTCTTAAATACCTGCACTGTCCAAAAATTATAACATTTTATTTAATTAATCTTTGGATGTTATTCTTTTAGTTAGGTATAAAGCGTGAATGAATCCCCTTTCTTTTATAGGTTGGCTGCACAGCCGTAGACCTTGTATCTCCCAAATCTGGAGATCCAAGACATGATTTTAACCGATTAAATGTTTTTAACAATAAATACATGGAAAATCTTTCTATATTTCCATGATTGTATGAAAATAATATACATCGCCGAACCCATCTAGCCGTCTTGATCATTTGATCTGGTTTAGAGTATTTTATTTTTATTTTTTTTTATAAAATCATATGAATATGGAATTTGGTACATGGTATCATCTCAATGGAGCACACCAAAAAAATTATTAAAAAAATATTCTCGATAAAATAAAATAACCAAAATACCCCTGAAAAAATAAAATAACCAAAATATTTTTGAAACTTTCAAAGGTATTTTGGTTATTTTATTTTATCTAAAATACTTTTAGTATTTTTGCAGATGTGAGTTTAAAAGAGTAGATGACCAAAATTTGGTGTAAGAAGTTTCTATTAAAAAATAAATAAAAATAAAATAATAAGGAAGTATGACATTGTGATTGGATCCATTTCAACCGTCCATTAAAATTGGACAGTTGGCTAGGGAGAAGTATAAAGTTCTATATAGTAGAGGAAATATCAAAAACTTTATCTTAATGTATTGCATGCTTCCACAGAGTTAGATGCTTTTTTGGCAGATAATTCAAAGGACTCTTGTTTTCGCCTTGTTTCTTCTCTTCTTAAAATGAAAGGTGTTTCGGTCAAAAAGTTGAAACTTGTTTAGAAATTAGACCAGTAAACAAGAACATTTGCATGAAATCTTACAAATTCTTTTATGCTTTATTATTGGGTGTGGTTTGTATAAGGCTCAAACCCTAAACAATCAGATTAAAGTGTATCTTCAAATAATGCTGAAATATTTTGTTTCAGTATCATCAATCTTTATGATGGTCTGAAAATTCATTTTCATCTCTAATTATAAAAGGGAAAAAGTTTATATACAGCTAAGGCTCTAAACAATCACATTCGAACGTATCTCAAAAATTTTGCTAGATGATAATGTTTTGATACCTAAAAGTCCTCAAATTGATCATCTCGATCTCAAGATGTATGGACATAAGAAAACAGTTGATTTTAAGCTTTGAAAATAATGTATTTTTTGACCATCAATTTTTAAGATTTTTAAGTTTTCAAAGATCTATAGATCTACACCATTTTTAAAGCTTTAAAATTTATAAATAAAAATAAAAATATATCTTAAGGCTATTACAAAGATTTCTAGTGTTGAAACCACATTTCTCGATACTATCTAAAGGTAGGCTCTAATTTGATTGTTTAGAGCCTAGGCTCTATACAAAATGCACCCATTATCTTATCGGACAACTTTCAACCATATCTTTTTAGGTTTATCTTTTGCCATTTTCAGTCCTTCAACTTGAATTAATTCATACCTCATAATATGTGATGTACTTAGTTGGCACCACATATGGCTAGCCCACCTAAGTCTACTCTATCTCATTATAATCTTTAATTATAAAATCAAAAATTTTAAAAATAGCGTAGATCGAGCAAATCTACAAATACTTGAAAATCTTGAAATTTGATGGTCTAAATAATATGTTACAAAATGCATTATTTTTTATACTTGAAATATTTTTTTTTTATGTCCATACCTCTTGAAATTGAGATGATCGAATTCGAGGATTTTTCATCATTGAAATAACTTATTCTAGAAAACTTTTGAGGTGCACCTTAATTTGATTGTTTAGGGCTCCACCCTTATATAAATTTATTCGTTTATTATTTCACCAAAAGTATAGGGGTATTGTAATTAAGAAAAGCTTTTTATTCTTCCCCTACAACATAAAACTTATATGCTTCTTCTTATCCAACCGTTTATTCTGATTGGAGGGCTAAGATTTGCCACAATCACAATGTCACGTCTCTATACTATTTTATTTTTAATTTTTTTACATAAAACATTTTGACACCAAATTTTAGACGTCTAATCCTCTATTAAACTCGCACTTATAAATGATATAAAAAAATATTATCAATAAAATAAAGTGATCAAAATACTTTTGAAAAAATATTTTGGCCATTATATTTTATCAAAAAATTATTTTTAGTATTTTTATAGATGCACACCAACAAGAAGATAACAAGTACCAAATTTCATGTTCATAAAATTCATATTATAAAAATTAAAAATAAAATAATATGAGGGGTCGGATCGGATTAAAGTTGAAGAGACCCACGACACACCTGCTGCCGCGGTTATATCACTTCTCCCCGAAAAATAATCAGGAGTATTTCGATGATTTGCAAATAGGGGCATTTTAGTCATTTTTACTAATGACTGACTTAAGGGGATCTACCGAAAAGTTTACGTGCTCTCATCTTTTTGGTCATTCTCTCTCTAAAAAGCTCTCTCTCTCTCTCTCCTCTTTTTTTGTCTACTCCCTCTCTAAATCTATCTTTCTCTCTCCTCTTTTTTTTTTGTATTTTTTGTCCGTGCTTAAAAGGCAGAGACAGTAAAAAGCTTGAGGACACTGTTGAGACTTGCAGAGAGAGCTTTTCTCAATCTCATTCATTTACAACTTCACATTTTCCCCCTTTTCTCCATTTTATATTGCCTTTTTTTCATGCATTTTTCTGAATCGTATATATGTATATATATAATGTGGAAATAGAAGAAGAGAGGAGCTTAAATAGCCGTTAATTCATCTCTGGTTTCTTTTGAGGTGGTAAGAAGATGGGCAGGAAAGGTCAGTTTTTGATCTTCTTCTCCTTATTCTGCAACTGGGTTTTGAATCTGAGCTCTGTTAATGGCGCCACGGATGCAGCGGATGGTGAGTGGTGACCATTCCAATGGCTTTTCTTTGCATTTTTGCTCCTGCATTTTGATGGGTGATAATGTTACGTATCAACCAGCCATTTAAGACTGCATTTGTTGTATATCTTAAGCATTTGGTGGGTATTTATTCCTGTTCATTGATGCTCTGTTTTGTTGCAAACGTTTAAAACAGAAAAAAAAGAAAAAAAGAAAAAAAAAATAGCTCTCTTTGGTTATGATTTATTGGATTTTTTGCCCCTTCTCCCCCTTTTATTTACGCTAATATTGGGATTTTTTTTTTCAATGAATCGTATTGGTTTTTTCTCTGTGGATGTTATGAAATGTTGAATGGATTTCCTTCTTTTTTCCCGTCTGTGTTTTTTTCCCTTCAATTTTATTTGGTTTTCTCAGAACATTGATCATATCATGTTAAAATTATTTTTTTCATTATTTTTCTTGTTCTGCATTTTAAGCAGTGGAGTGGAAGAATGCCGGATTTGTAATTTCATTTGACTATAATTATGGGAATTTCTAATTTAGGGCTTCAGAAATTTGAGAAAATGTAGATCACGGTATTGTGTTATTAGCTGAAATTTGCCCACATGATGGGGACTGTGAGATGGATCCTTGATTGGAAGTAGATGTAATCACCAAATCCTGAGTTTGAATATAACCCCATTTACTTGACGCGGAGAAAACGCGGAGAATTTCTTTAGAATCCTACTCTAAGGATGATTTTTCTTCTTCTTCTTAGGAATTTTTGGAAATCTCTGTTTCAATTATTGCAGAACTCTATGGTGATTTAGTGCATGGTAAATGTGAATATATTAATATGTCAATTTGATATGAAAAATGTTGGGCTTTCTTTTTCTATTTTGGGTTATTTTTTATTCCCTTTGTTTTAGTTGTTGCAAATACTAAAGGGGTACACATTATATGACGAGTTTAGGTTGATCATGTGGGTTTCTGCTTTAAAACAGAGAAGTACATACTCCTTGGGTAATGTTTTTGGTATGCTTTATATAACACTTGCTTCATTTTGGTTGTTTATTGCTGTCTCTGCATCGCTGTTGTATCTGTCAGCTAAAATTAGTTGCTCCGGAATCTCAGTCAAGAACATCCTATATTGCTTATACTTCATTATGTTGTTTTTCCGAATTTTCGGTTCTAAGACCCACCATTTTCTTACTCACATGAGATTGATTGTGTGCGTAAGGCCACTGAATATTCTCCTTACCCTTGATGAAAACATTTACTTGAGCTCAATTTCTGTATTGATCTAGTTTCTCTTATATCCCTCAACATGTTATTTATGCACCCACTTAAATCTACCTCTTTTTTGAGTCTCTTTTTTCTTCTTGTGCACCTCTTTTTTTGACCATCAATTTTCTTCTTTTGCAGTTTCTGCCCTTAATGTCATGTACAACAGCCTAAACTCTCCTGGTCAGCTCTCTGGTTGGACTTCTAATGGAGGCGATCCTTGTGGGCAGAATTGGAGAGGGGTCACATGCTCTGGTTCTTCAGTTACAGAACTGTAAGATATCTCTCCAATGTTTCATGTCACATAATTTCTCTCCATTACTGTACAAGATTTTCTACCCTTTCCTCATTTGGGTGGTAAGTTGAGTATAGTCATCTCTAATATGTTTTCCTTTTATGCATTTCTTGAGCAGCAAATTATCAGGTCTTGGACTGTCTGGTTCATTGGGCTATCAGCTTACCAGTCTGACTTCTCTAACTACCTTGTGAGTCTGTGTGTGTGTGTGTGTGTGTGTGTGTGTGTGTGAGAGAGAGAGAGAGAGAGAGAGAGAGAGAGAG